GGTGGCCCTGCCCGCCCCCGGGCGGCGCCCGCTGTGCCCCGGGCTACAACAGGCCTGGGAGATCGTTTTCTAAAATAATGACGTAGGATTTATTTTTAGTGGTTTTTTTTTTTTTTTAACCAGAGAGATATAGTTCCAGATACATGTGAAGTGGTTTTTTTAATTTAAATTGGAATCCTGAAGAGCAGAGGTGTGTTTTGTGTTCATTGTAAGCTCTATTGTATTTCTTGGTCAACTGCAGTATAAACATGCAAGGGGGAAAAGACCTTTATCTCTGTAGCAGAAAGATAACGGCAACACCAGACTTTTTTCTACTTGACAGGTACAACCTACCGTTACAATAATTCTTTACTGGAAATTTTATTTGTAGTGTCTTTAGAGGTAGTTACCATAAAAAAGTAGTTACCATAAAAAAAAGAAAATCCCCTTAAAGCATTTACCAACATGGTCACTCCCAGATCCTATCACAGAAAGTAGGTTTCCCAATAATCCATACAAATTCTGTGGAACAGGCAGGGATAGAGTTCACTTCTTCAGCATAATATTCAGTTTGTTTTCCATCACCATTTTACAGTCCCACAATACTTTTTTTTTTTTTTTTCTAAATTTTCATTCCACAACTGTGGTTCACGGGCAAGCAAAGTATTTTGAGCAAAAAGAGGCAGGAAATTCATAGAAAATGTGCTCAGAGATGCCAAGCAAACTGTGCAACTAGTAATCATCCTGGTAATTCAGAGCTTTGAAGCCATTGACTCAGGACACTTGAAATCAGGAATTTTTTCAGTATCTGCCTTTGCACACTTAGTATGTTTTAAAAATATTTTTTAGAAGAAACAATTCTTTTTCTCTTGCTTCCTCTGATTTAAGCTCTCTAAATAGTTAAAAATTTCTACTAGAAGTCAATTTACAAGAAACAGACTAACCATGCTTCTCTTATTTGTTTGAGCTATAAAGCAGGTGGTACATTTGTTACTAGAAGTCAATTTACAAGAAACAGACTAACCGTGCTTCTCTTATTTGAGCTATAAAGCAGGTGGTACATTTGCGAGGAATGCTTAAACTAAAAATACGGAAGCAGAATGGACATTAGATTTACCTTATTTTTATCACTAATAGCGTAACTGTCACATCATACGTCAGGTGTTTTTGTTAAAGTGAATGTGTTGTATACAAATCCTACAAGTGATTTTACAGTGTGAATAAAGAAAAAAAGTATCTTGAGTGTGTGTACGTTTTTGTGTAAAGGAGGTCAGATAATGTACTTGAATTTCTGAGACAGGGAATACTGTGGAAGATGTTTCCTAGAATGGAAATTCTGGTTACCCTCTACCTGTAAAGAGGCCAATGCAAAGTAAAATTTACACAGAACAAGAAGTTGCAGAACTGGTTTAGAAAACATAATCATTTAAGAGCTTTAGGAATCCGGCAGTTGTGCACATGCAATAAATTTGGGACCAGCAAAAGCCTGTTCTCTATAGAACCAAAACTTACCTTGAACTAAATGACAAGCTGTGCAGCGTGGTTGCCAACAGGCAGTAGCACTGTGAAGAGGGGGAGTTACAGTCGTCTTAATTCTACTGTGTTTTGTGACACTGTGTGTATGTGTAATATATTTGTATGGATACACAAGTATGGGATAAACAAGTTCCTACGGTCAGGTGAAGAAGTTTTCCGTTTTGTGGGAATGATTGCAGATTAGCAGCACTGACATTCCTGAACTACTAACGCAATCTACACTGTAAAATAACAGCACTCGAACTGAAAAGTTTGTGTAACAGAAAAGCTTTAGACCGCCTTACATAGCTGTTAACGTATCCAAGAGTAAATGTTACCTTTAAGTCACTTTAGAATCAGCTATAGCCATCACTTTGAAATATTAACACCTATTGTTCAAGTTTCAAATAGCAGAAGATTGGACAGTAGGGAAAACAAAACACGTCCTTTTTCCCAGTTCTATATAATATTTTAACAAGTAATATTTCCTGTTGCTCTAAGTGTTTGGGTACAACACTAGAAAAAAATGGAGTGGGAGAAACGCCCCCTGCCCTGTTCCTCTGCCTGGAAGTACTCTGAACAAACGAATCTGATGCTGTTTTTGCCTAATATTCTAGGGATGACACCTGAAATAGAGTAACAGCTGGAAAGTACCACTCTACAGCATTCTTTACTGCCTCTTTTTGCCAGGGACTAGAGCAATGTAAGTGTACAAAGAAAAAATCCTATGTCATGAGGGAGCTACACCTGAGAGTTATTACTCAACATACTCTCACTGAAACAATGTATTAGTTGGGCAACATGCCCATTGATAATGAGATTTAATGTTTTAAGTTGCGACTATACAGAAAAACTAAAGAACTTTCAGATTGATAATATCCTCTGCAAATTGTATTACAAAATTTAAAATATGTGAAATTGTAGCAAGCAATCGGTAATACTGTATTATTGTATTACTGTATTATTATAATACTGTAACACTGGCTTAATACTTGCCAAAGTAGCAAAAGGATATTATTTATAAATATCCTTGTTGCTCATTGTGTTCCAGCTAGATTGTATGGTAGCAAAGTCTTAATGTTAGTACCAAGTTACCCATAATCCCAAGAAATATTAAACACCTACAAACCCATGGCATAGCGGAAATGGTTGAATGAAACTTTCAATTCAATTTCTTTATACTGTTTACCTTTCTGTTGTCTCTTGGATTGTCACATTCAATGCTGTAGAGCGAGCTACGGTGAACTAGAAACACAGGAGGACTCAAGTTCTGCCTAAGTAAATTCAGAGACTAAACTTGCAATCTTTTTAGTTGCTGTTCAGCAGCCATGTGATATGCTGCGAGCATGTCAAATTTCTAGGTTCTCTCTTTTTTCGACTTTTAAAGTTTGTCAGGTGCCTGAAGTTTTGCTCTTGGGCAAAAACATCTTAGTTTTCCAATTCTGCGGTTTTTTTACCTAGCTAATATTGAGTCAAGTCAGTATTAACAGTGTTTCACTTTCTGAGTGGCTCAGTGTGATGACAGCTCTTTTCCAAATACGCCTAGAAGGGACTGCAGAAAAAGAACAACAGCATGGTGCATTAACTTTTCTGCAATAATTCTGACTGTAAATACTTGACAAAGATACAGGGCAGAGCGATTCAAATCCCACTGATGCGTGGCCAGGGCTCTAACCCATTTTCTTCTAATTCCCAGGAGCGTTACAGTCATCAAACGTTAGGTCAGTGCAGCTCTATCCCAACACGCTGTGCGTCCAGCCCCATTTTTGCAAAAGCTGCAATGTTCAGTATCAGGCACGGTGCCCTTTATAGCGGCAGCAGCAGCCACGCTCTGGGTTGGCCAGCGCTAGCGAGGAGGGAAGGTGTCTGATAAGACATGTGCTTCACAGCAGATAAAGTGTCTTGGGATATCAGCTGGATCACACATGACCAGGTTATTTACGGCGGGAAGAAACTTCTGATGAGACTCCTCTGCTTTATTAAGCCAAAGCGAGCAAGGTATTTTAGCCCAGTGAATAGAATAATACCTGGATGCTACATCCTATTAGACAGACCTTTTTTCCCAGATTTTGCATTAGAGAAAATGTGAAAAAGCTGCACAACGCAGCATTCTGCAGCATTGCATCTAAATCCATTTGTAGTTCCAGCTTTTTTTACTTCAACATATTTGGTCCAGGACCATAATAGTAACAACAAAATGAAGTAAGATAGCCTGTTTATGTGAATGTAAACCATGAGAACACCAGCAATGGGTACTCTGGAGGTACTTTCTCTTTTCTCTCCTTACCCAGCAAGGGCAACTGAGTTAGCCTTTTTTTTTTTTTCTAAAAAAGATGGGAAGAAAAGCTCCAGCAAGGCCAAGAAATATGCTGTATATTTAAAATTAGGTTGCAAGATATGTTTTAGCCTATGTGACAGATAAGCAAGAGTCAATCACTTACCTGAAAAATGCGGCATAAAGCTTTCACTCCCTTTAAATTAGGGAAAATTCCCACTAGCTTCATTATAAATTTTGGAAGTGCAGTTCTGTCCTTCTGCGTTGTCCCATTATAACTGCATGCAGGCTTATAAGTATCTTGACTTCATAATCTCATATTTCATTA